TCTAGCGGTGCTAGACATAGTAAACTTATGATGAAACAACCCTCACCGAGACTGGCAAAATCACTGCTGCAATTGGAGAGGGCCAAACCCAGAGGAGTGGTAGGACTACTAACCGGTCACTGGTATCTCAGAAAACATCTACAAACATGGGTATATACAGCGATGATCCTATTTGCAGATTATGCAATGAGGAGGAGGAAACAGCCACTCATATCATCTCCGAATTCGAAGCAACAGCTCAATGGAGATTTAATCTAACGTATGGAAAAAAACTTAGGCATTCAAATTGCAGCAGCAACAGTCAATGACCTGATACTTCTAAGAAGAAGGATTGAGTCTATTGACTGAACTAAGGAATTAGGAAGGTACAATAAGCCAGAAGGCAGCAGTGCCTGGGGAAAAAAAACCCCGCTTCCTAGTATCCTTTTCTACCATACCATAACATATCATTCCTGTGAAGAAATCCGAAAAATATAACGAAAACTGCCCCAGAAAGTGTATATACCTTGCATCTACTTTTTCATTATACTTAATGTGTGGTGATTAGTGACCGTTAGTCGATGATTATTCGGAAATCGTGAGATGCGGTCTGGTGTGATGTAGGTTTGAGAAAAACATTTTCTTTATCGTGCCAACGTTTCAATCTTTATTGAGATCATCTTCAGGGCCTTGTGTTGTCTGCATTTCAGCAAAAAAGTTTTCTGGTTGATAGCCGATGCGAGTTTCTTCTCATTGTTGGCGATGTCCATCAATATACTTTTAGCTGCGTGTCCATATGTAGTTTAAATTTGTTCATAGAATCCCATGTTCTTCGTTCTTCTCGTGTAGAAATGTGTGGTGATTAGTGACCGTTAATCGATAATTATTCAGAAATCGTGAGATGCGTTCTGTTGTGATGTAGATTTCAGAAAAACATTTTCTTTATCGTGCCAACGTTTCGATCTTTATTGAGATCATCTTCAGGGCCTGGGATTTACAATTGATTGAATATATATATAAAAAAATATATATATATGTGTATATATAATACATATATATGTGTTAATAATAAAGACTCAAAATTCTATTTAAAGGATATAGACAAGTTGCCATCACATTAGGAGAAGGGCATTAAGAATAATTATTCAGAAATCGTGAGATGCGGTCTGGTGTGATGTTGATTTCAGAAAAACATTTTCTTTATCGTGCCAACGTTTAGATCTTTGTCGAGATCATCTTCAGGGCCTGGGATTTAAAAACATTGTTTAGTACATGAAGGATGTGGAAAAAAATCTATTACACACAGTCATACCACAACTTCCTTTCCCGCCCCTTCAAAAATCCAACGTATATAAACATAAAACAGCATTGGCACTCCCAACACGACACGCAAGAATAGCACAATTACGCAGAAAACATACACTTTGAGTGAGTAGAAATACTTAGATTGAATATAAAAAAATATTTTTGCATTGTATAAATTCACTTTTTTCCACATCCTACATGTATTTGTTAAATTTCAACATGTTTGTAAATCCCAGGCCCTGAAGACGATCTCAATAAAGATTGAAACGTTGGCACGATAAAGAAAATGTTTTTCTGAAACCTACGTCACACCAGACCGCATCTCACGATCTCCAAATAATCATCGATTAACGGTCATTAATCACCACGTATTTAGTAAAGTGAAGTGGTAGAATAATATTGATTATTTGTTCCCCTCAATGTACATATTGCATTATTTTATATTGTGACTTTTTTTTTAAATTAGAGCGAATATCCGTGAATTTAGTATCGTTCCGCCTCAGTTTTTGAATCGAACTAAGAGAATGGAACTGTGAGTACAACAATTTTGTTTTATCCTGAACCTAATCCTGCATGTAGAACGTAATGACTGAAAATAACTTAGCTAATTTAATATTAATAACTTTTTATTCCATAATTTAGTTAATTAAAATATATTATAATGTAAGACCAAAAAAGTAAAATTTAAGTGGGTGATGCGTATGGCAATTATAATTTCTTAAATGATTATTCAGATAGGCATTCTCAACACGACACGCAAGAATGGCACAATTATACAGAAGACAAACACTTTGAGTGAGTAGAAATACTTTGATTGAATATACAAAATATATTTTGCATTGTGTAAATTCACTTTTCCACATCCTAAATATATTTGTTAAATGTAAACAATGTCTGTAAATCCCAGGCCCTGAAGATGATCTCAATAAAGATCGAAACGTTGGCACGATAAAGAAAATGTTTTTCTGAAACCTATCACACCAGACCGCATCTCAAGATTTCTGAATAATTATCGATTAACGGTCACTAATCGCCACACATTTCTTAAATGAGTTTAGTCTAGTTCGGCTTGTTTTCCTAAAATTTTTCTTGCTTTCTCGACAAATTGCCATAATTGTTTCGTTTTTCTTGGAACAAAATACATTTCAATTAACATTCAGAACGTAGTTCCAAAAATAAACTAAATCACATTGATATTAATATCTTTTTTCTTAATCAGGATAAAAAATATATAATAGAAAGGATAAATCGCTAGCAAAAATAACAATTCAAACTATAATCTTTTTTCAGCAACATTTTTCAGAAATAATTGGAGATGGGAAAAGGAAACGTAACTACGACGATAAATACCCTATTTGTTGTAAATACTGAAAAAGTAGTAGGAAAAAGAACGGTGAATAAATGTTCGTTTGTAATAACATCAATTATTTATATAATGATAATTCATTTCCATTTATACTTTGATATTTCTGAAACTCTTATGATGCAAGTCAATAAGATTACGTGGTTTTTATGTTTTAGTAACTTTTTTTTCTTTATAGCACCTTTCTCGTTGTGCATTTACACTACATTGAACCTTTAAAATTTAAAATTTATGTTGTAATTAAAACTATAAAACTGATTGCGAGATGAATTTCAAAAGAATAAAATTCAATTTTTACACAGAGTTTTCAGAACAGAATAATTATAATACACAATACAAAAACATTTTCCTCGTGAATATTTCCGAACGAACTACCAACAATGGATTGTTACGAACAAAATGTACTCAGCTTGGATAAATCGTATCGTTTGCTAATGCAAAAATGTAATGATACTTCTGTATCAAATGGATAAATCGTATTGATAACACTGTGTAATTAGAACGTGTTTTCGCTACGTTATCGTAGGTTATCCATAATCGAAAATTATTTGTTTTGGACTGAATTATGAATGTGAATCGAACACAGTTACTTTTGGTTTTAAGAATTATTGTATATTACGACGGTTCATGAACCATGTGTACTTACCTTTCATCGTTAAAGTTAGTAATTAAAAATATTTCATAATGCAAAATTACACATAATATCATTCCAAAAAATACATCTTTACGATCTACACACTCACCAACAGATTTTTTCTGACCAAAAAAATAAATAAAATAAATCTCTTACAATCATCACAATTACTCTACACCCAACACGAGAACACGACATTCAGCAAACAACATCAAGTTACATGAGACACCACTTTTATCAGTACCAACAGATTCAACATGGGAATTAATATAAATCCTGGAAATTATTAGTGATTTTGTTTCAAATATTCAAAATGCAAATTCCTTCCCAAAATGCAATCAAATGCGAAACTTTTATTAAATTTTGTTATATTAATGAATGTTTGATAATAATTAGATAAAAGGTCTTGCATTAATTAGTTGTGCAGAATTGAAAAGTAATCAAAGTACATAGAGGGTTGGGCGTTTGACTTATTTTACTACTTTGTATTAAGTTCAATGTCATTAATATTTCATACGTGTGATATAGTGCGTGTTGAAAAGTATTAAAATTGTGTTTACTACCCAACCGAAAAGGAAATACGTCCAAAAGTTATTGAACACGGCGATTTTTTTGGATGATCTATGAACAATAATCATAGAGCTAACCTGATGAGATAACTTTTGGACTGTAAAATAATAGGCAGACAAGACAGAGGGGATGGATAATAGACAAATTAGACAGAGATTCTTCAAAAGAGAAGACGGAACAGGGGATACGAGACTGAAGAGCAAGATAAACAAAACTCAATAAGTCAAACCAAACAAAGTAGAAAATTGGGAAATTTTTTAAATAAATTGAAACGATCAGTAGAAGAACCGAGCGAATATCACCGTTTTTAGAGAACACAAAGAGGAGTAAAGAGAAAGAGAAGATTGTTAACAGCTCCGAGTGAAGAACTACCATGACACACTGGGTGGACAAGCCGTTTTTCAAATATCTATTGGTTTAATTTCAACTTCATTTTAAAAGAAACTACCAACGCTCAGATATTAATTAAAAATAAACCATATTGTATAGTGCGATCCGACTAATATTTTTTTAAATTTTTAATTGAGCTATAATTCGACAGTTCAAACCTAAATTTTATTAGTAACAACATTACAGATATTGTAATCACCACCAGCTTCGGTGGTCTTGTAATCATATTAGGCTTATCGAGGTGGTCTTGTTTTAAACTAACGGGAATCACAAATCAATGTATCAGTAGAGATAAACAGTCCACAGTAATCAATCATGATTTTCACTAATTGCATTGACACAATGTCCGACGAACTATGTTTGAAATTTATTAACAATATTAAAATAGATAATAAAGAAAAAATGTTTTGATTAGAATAAGTCACGTTTGTTTGTTCAGATTAATTTCGAAACTAAAACTAACATGGTTTATGAGGCGATGAATAATTTTTTTCGAAGCTAGTCAATCTTAGAGCCACGATCGGAGCTCAATTACGCTATTTAGCATTTAACTGCTACTTTTTTAGTATTACGATCAATCGAATAATGAAATTAACAAATGCATTAACAGATTAAATATTCTATTCTGTTTTAGTGACGGCGAATAATTTATTTTCATTTTTTTCTGAGCGTTATTTGTCTGTTTGAAAGATTATCGAGTAATAAAACGACTTGTCTTCCCTTGTAATACACCCACAAACACTTTCTTTACTGGCTTACTCAGTGGTTCTGACTCGAACACTGTACTCTTGTGGAAGCCCCCTGTAACACAAATAAACAATAACAGCTCCAATAAACTAAAAAGCTTAAACACACACTTTCTTCTTTTCTCTCAATTTTCCTTCACATAATTCCCACACTTTTTTCAAAGTTAGAAGGGGCAAAACAATAGCATGCATATGTTAAACTGGTCGGCTAAAACACACAATTACGGGGTCTGTGAGGCATGGCGGTGAAAGGGCCATTCGTGCTGTAACAAAACGGAAGCAGAAGCAAATGTTTTTTCTAAAATATATCAGTGTTTTAATGTTTAAACTCGTCGGTGAAAATTCCGACTGTTTGAAAACTTCAATATTCAAATAGACTTCAAACAAGAAAAAAAGAATTATAGAAAATAACGATATTTACTTTTAATTAAAGGTTAAAATATTAAAATGCCAATTATTCATTCGGAACAAGTGTTTATTTCCTTTGAAAGAGCCCTCCTTTAAAAAAAAAATTCTCGGCTCGGTGGTTCAAACCTCCGCTTACATTCGAACCGCTTCGGTCCAAAGCAGCAATTATAAAACGACAAAAGCCCGTTATGAATTAATTAAAACGCCCGCGCAGAGGTGCGTTTTCTCCGGTTTCTCGGTTTTATTTGAAGTCCGACGTGTTAAATTTAAAGTCCGCCTCACGTTAATCTCGTCGTTACTCGACTTTACAGTCCGATACTTGGGAGACGGTTCACGTATAGATTCTAAAAGTTTATTTACCGCGTCGACTCTAACGTTCGGGCTGTAACGCACAAGAGCCCGTTATTTATCGCCTTCGGTCGGAACAAAGATGCTTGGAATAACATGAGCGAACCGAGACTTTTTCATTTTCCATTTCTAGGCGGTTTTGCAACCGGTGCCCACCCAAAGGGCATTATTCCAAAGCGGTAACATAAAGGAAAGATAAATTGCCGGATCGATATCGACCCAGGGCCGTTTAAGAAGTGGACGTATATTTTAAAGCCGAATGTATGTATTGAAAATTATAGCAATATATATTTTTCTACACACATAAAATCAGATAATTGAACATTTCATAGTAGCTTTTAGAATTGCGATTTTATTGATTTTTACAAGTACAAACATAGTAAAATCATGACACATTTAGTTAGGCGATATAATTAAAAATTTAAATAATTTTTACCCTCAGTGATTTTTATGATGTCTGCAAATTTCATAAAGAAAATAAGTGATAATATTTGTATTCTTGTAACCGAGCATATTTTGAGCAGTTTTAACTTTGATTAGGGTTTCTGAGCAGCAATTCCGAGTGTTTGAAAGCTGTCTCAGGTGGCCCCACTGTTAAAAAGGTAGTACAGAGAACATTTAATATTTCCGCCCTATAACATCTCTCTTGATCTCTCAAAGTCAGTTTGTTTTCATGAAAGGACTGGGCACCTGTATAGGCCAACATCGATACTATGTGACATATCCTTTTGATACGGCCAAGAACGCTATTTATATTCTTAATTCTGTTACCATGGTATAAGAGGGGCATCCCAAGAATTTAGTCACAATTTTCCGCAAGGCAAAAAACAAATCGTACGAATTAATAACACTATGTCCAGTCGAGAGAATGTAAATGGAGTACTACAAGGATCAATGTTGAGTCCGTTATTGTTTGGGTTTATGTGAACGACCTGTATTTTTATATAGTGAATACTACCTGAAATACTAGTTGATGGCACAAGTTTTGTGTAATAAGTATTTATTTGAATTAACAATTGATGTTATTTATGACTATTTTAATTCAAATTACCTATTTTATATATTGGGAAAAAAAACAGTCCGTGGCTCTAAGCTTAAAAGGCCTAAACGAAATTGTAAAATCTATAGATAAAAATACTCGAGTAAGGCAGCTTTCGAGTAATACATACATTTCATCAGAACAAAAATAAACTAATAAATTTACAAGTTGTTCCGCCTTTCTCGTTGGTTTGCCTTTCACTCAACCGCGTTTTGATTTCTCGCCATTTTAACTGAAGAAAGTTGAAAATTGTATCATTTTTCATAGAATTTCATTGACATTCAGCTATTATTGATATGGGCCGTTAAAATAAAACGATTAAATTTAATTAAGGTGTGAATCCTGGTCGTTGCCCCCTCATTGCAGCGTTTACACGGCAGAGCTGTATGCGATTTGGCACGCTCTCGAGGCGGTGCGGACCGGGGAGGGCTCAGCCTTCCTCGTATGTACCGACTCTCTGAGCGCTGTCTGGGCTATACGCGACAGGTTCTCTGTGGACCCTCTCGTCGTGCTCTTGTTAGAGAAATACGCGGAGCTGGAGCCTCTCGGAAAAACGGTGGTTGTTGTCTGGATTCCCGGACACGTCGGCCTGGAGGGTAACGAACGCGCGGACGAGGCGGCGAAAGCCGGTACGTCCCACCCTCCAGATCGGACCATCGCGATCAGGCCCCCTGACGCTAAACACGCAGTTAAAAATATGATAAAAGAAAGATGGCAGCGTCAGTGGGCGGGGTCGTCGGAGAGGCTCTTGCGAGTCAAGAGCACGACCGGTAGATGGCCCTCAGAGAATCTGAGCAGGAGACGAGGGATCGTCCTCACCCGATTGAGGATTGGCCATACTCGGTTGACACATGGGCACCTGCTTTTGGGCCAAAGCCCGCGCAGGTGCCCCTTATGCAGAGAAAGGCTGCTCGATGTGTCCCACATAATAGAGGCGTGTCATGCCTTGGCTCCATACAGAGAGCGTGTAGGCATGCCGCCGGACTTAAGAAGAGTTCTCAAACACGGTAGCGAGTTTCAGAGTCCCCTGTTTCGCTTTTTTGGGGAAATTGTTTTTTTTTTATTGTATTGTATGTCTTAAGTATTGTGTGTCTATATGTTTTGTCTGAGTGCATGTATTTATTAGCGTGAATGGCGAGGGGTGAGTGTGAAATATAACGTCATCATCACCCCTCGAAAGATGAGAGCGTAAGAGTGTGTGTTCGGGGTCGATGGCGGAATATTTATAAAAGTACCCCATCGACCCCAATCTAGTTTAGTTTAAGTATATTTCGCTGGAGGAATATCAAGTACTTCACCGACCAAACGGAATGAGTGTACTGTATGGATGTATTTAAGTGTATGAATGTAGTGTTTGAACAGGTATAGAATATAGACTTAGTTGGGGGCTGAAATGACCTAGGTTTCGGAAGCCCCAGCAAAAAAAAAAAATTAAGGTGTGAAGTCATCTACCTACAGATCATCTCCAGTGAAATTAATCTTCACTGAATATGACGTAAAGCTGAATCACGCTTGAGTGAAATCTATGCCACATGGACGGACAAAGTAAAGGATGAAGTGTCGATCAGTTCGGCATACAATATTTATTTAAAAGGCTAATATGTTTGGAACTTTCTCTAGCCACTCAAAAAAAAACAACAAAAAAACAGTATTTTCTTAACATTATTTAATTTTATTCAATAATTTTAAAAATAAATAAATTTTTTATTTTTTAATTTATAAAAAAAAATATCTTAGGGATTTATTCAAAAAGAAAATGGAATTCCACACGGTCTGCTATATTTACAAGCCCCCGGTGAGCAGAATACCATTTTTCAGATATAATACGTTAGCGGAATGTAAAAAGTTGGCTAATAAGCTCCTCGGCGTCGCTAAACGAGTTCCCCGTAGTAAAGTAGTTCCGAGCCGACGTCCGGATCATAAGCTGGGGGGTTTTGGAATTATCCCGGTGGATTCTCCCTTGTCTTGTAGGAACCATGTATGACTATAACACTAAATCCCGCCTCCAAAGTCCTCTTAAGCCTCGACTCATCCACTCCGGTCTTTCTCGAGTTAAGTTACACACCGTCTCACCTAAGGCGAAATGTGCCCTAGGGAAGATTTGTTGTTATTACGCTTCATGACGTACACGATTTTTCGTTAGTCGGCCCAATTTAGCAAATTGAAAAATGTGGAATGTCAAAATTGTTGTAAACAATAAAAAACATGTCTCCTACTTAATAATATAGATAAGACTCATTGCTCTAATCCAGTGCTTTTTTATCAAACTAATAACGGTAATAACAAATGCTAAATAAGTAAAGTTTGCCGAATAATTTTTCTACTACTTAGGTACTACATTTTGAGAGAATTTTCACTTTATTAGATTTGATTATAAGTTAACATTATTTTTTAATATTTCGTTACTTATACAAGGGTTTCAATCCGAATGTAATATAATTACTATAATTTAAAAGACTGAGGGACTTATTTAATTTTAAAGCGGGATAATTTCCAGAATTAATTTTTGTTTTGTCCGATATATTCTATGTCCAAAATTTATTATGCAACAATTGTTGTTCTGTTAAACTGATCAAAACTCAAAGTTGGTGTCGTTACTTTTTTCTAAGAAAAGGGCGCAGACTTGATACTTTTTTAAATAAAAGTTTTATCTAAGGATTTACTTTTTTTAACGAAAGGATATTAATTGACTGCTAACAGGGATGCACCTGGGTTTAGAAGTTTAGAAGTTATTATCAACCAATTATAACTTTAATCGCAATTCAGTTCGAAGGAAAAGGCCCGCGGAGGAAAATAAAGTGAATAGAAAAAAAGAGAGAAAAAAACAGGCTTAAAATATCGCCACCGATGCCTTGTTGAAAACTTAAAGTGAGAAGGATTGACTACTCTTGAAGAGAAATCGCACGAAGAAAGAATAACAATTCCGGGTCGAATGATACGGCGGGACACATTGTATAATGCGAATGGGTAAAAAATGCACTTGTCCAATCCATGCAATGCGTCTTACTTGGGGTATGTGACGTTCGGTATGGGCTTGAGGAAGCATCTCTGACGAAGTATTCCCTCCCAAAGCTGCACACCGACGATCCCGAATATAAAAAAGACAAAAAAGCAGAGGAGGAGAACGTTTCCCAGCATAGGCAGTGTGTCTAGTAGAAGCATAACTAAGATTCTCATACCTGAAAATCAATACAACTATTAGAAACAAGAAAATAACAAATTAATTAATCTATTTACACTTGTGCATTGGCTCGTTTGTTTATCAAAGGTACAATCATAATTATTATTCTCATCCTTGAATTTTCATTGTGATATTTTTGATGAACTTGTGATGTTGACCAATTAATATATTACTCATCAATTTTTATTCTGATATCTCTAGGCTAAATACTGATCAGCAGGTATGTATGAACATTATCATAAATTAACATCTATTCATCAGATCAAATTAAATTTTTTGGTGATCACAATTACAATTCAAAGATCATATTATAATTTTAAATAAAAAATTTAACACTATTACTGTAGAAATGCAACACTTGTAATTTCTTTAATGAGTTTCTCAATGTTTTTATAATTTTAATATTTCCAATTTTACTTGGTACAATGATAAAAAAATTTATTACTGTGCGATAAGGGCTATTTTGGTGGTGGAAAGTATTTAAAAAAAAATAAGTGGATTTTTATAAACATTTGCGGCACATTCTAAAATAGTATATAAAGACGGTACGTTTTAATTTCTCAAATTATTCCTTACAATAATATCTAGGTTTTTCTCGAACGATCTCATATTGGGGCCGGATACAACGTATCAAGAGCACTGTCGATAGGTGGCCCTCGGAGGATCTGACTCGTAGAAGAAGAATAATCTTCATCCGATTACGAAAAGTTACGCGCACACACTTTTGGGCCAAAACCCGCGTATGTGCCCGGCATGGATAGAAAGGTTGTTAGATGTGCCCCACCAAACTAAAAGGTGAAATTGCAGAGAGTGCGTTAAGATCCTATATGCTCGCGCGCCGTGTTTCGATATTCAAAGAAAACAGGGATATTTTATTGTATATAATAATAATAGCGTCGTGTATCTAGCGTGTGTTAGCTCTTAAGCGGGGAACACACTTACCGGATGCAACGCTATGCGACGCTACCCTATGCTACCCAACGCCTTGTCGCATTTTGGTACGGTGTGCTCATCTATGCGACGTCAAGTGCACGCCACAGTTAACCAGCGTGTATCACAAATCAGAATCGCAATCGCAACGCCTCTTCTGTACTTAAGGCATTATTTTGACCAAAACCATATAATAAATTGTTAGTTAAATTTTATGAGCACAACCATGTAATAAATTCTTTGTTAAACATAATTGTTTTAAATGAAGTTATTCCGGTGTTTTGATCAATTTTCTTCCTAACCATCATAATTAAATAATTTTGATCTCTTTACATTAAAATAGGAATGTTGTAATTAATATAACAATAAAATTACATATACTTAGTTAGAAATAAACCACAAAAAATATGAGTGTCCTGTTCTGACACTCTCGGCGATAATGATGTAATTTTCTGAGCAAAACCATGAAATAAATTGTTAGTTAAATTTTATGATCAAAACCGAGTAATAAATTATTAGTTAAATTCATTATATCCAAAAATGGTACTCTGGTGTTTTGATCAATTTTCTACCAAACATATAAAATTAATATTTTTAAAAATAAAAATTATTTTTTTAATTTTTGATCTCAGTTAATTTGGTTGATATTAAAATAAGTATGTTGTAATTAATATAACGACAAGAATACATAGAGTTTGAATAAAAATATGAGTGTCCTGTTCTTTTGTCTTCGACTGTACTCGATGCTACCTGACGAAAAGTGGGGTTCGCAGAGCGTAGAGTAGGGTAGCGTCGCATAGCATCTACCTAGCGTGTTTTGAGAGTGAATGTATTTGTTGGCATGAATGTGTATTGTAGGAGGGCTAATGCCGGAATATTGAGTACCCCATCGACCACTCCATTAAGTTAGTTATACATATAATACGAATAAATGGTAATGGGGGAATATCGAGTATTCTCACCCTAATTGAGTGAATGGTATGTAAATAAGTAAGAATGATTTAAGAATGAGTGAGAGTTAATGGGTTTGGATTTAGAAACCGATTGCGTTTTCTAATTTATTATAAATTTCAAAAACTGGAACTGCTGGTGAACTGCGAGAAGTGATAGAGTGAACTCTGCGCATGTGTGCACATATATGGAAATATTTGTGCAGATTTGTGTTTATATAAATCAATCAATCATCTCTTATTGTACGTTTGTGGAGTATAAAAATGAATGAAGCGAAGGGCGAGTTGGCGCGTGTGAGAAAACTATTAGCAGATCAAGCAGCACGCTTTCAGAATATACTTGCTTATTTAAGGAACAATAATAAGTACTGATTTTTCTAAAACGTTTTATAAATTTTAATAGTAAATTATATTTTTTATGAAAGAATTCAATAAACAAAAAAGTGACAAATGGAATTTTTATATTTACTAATACCAGTCCTCTGGGGTAAGAATGTGTTGTCTGGTGAGGGAAGGTAATTTATTAGAGTGAGGGTTTAAACCAACCCCCAGGAAATCGTCTACTGTGAGGGAGTGAATGTGATAGACTTCTCTCGTTATTGTAGGTGAAAGGATATCGCCGTGTTCGGAATACCCAGAACCACGACGCCGGATGTACGCTTCCGGCTATCTCGCGGGAGGGGTGCGCGTTTTTGGGACTGACTGCTCTTCGCCGGGCCATTGCCATAAATAATACATATTACCACTACTAGTATGCTACTTTATTTTTTTCATTTTATGTTATAAGTTGATATTTTTGAAAACCTTTTTTGTGTTCTTCAACGGTCTCGAAGCTTTTTATATCTTTGTAACAATAAAAATAAATTGTTCTTAATAATTATTGATAAGATATCGCAAATAGTTTTAATATAACGTAGAGAAGACTGAGATGACAAATTATTGTCACAAACTGGACACGAACCCGCGACCTCTGTATCGGTGTCCGTCAAGTGGCTGGAGCGTTGGAGTACTGATCTGGTGATCGTTGGTTCGAGTCCCGCCGGTGATACTAATTTGTCAACTCAACAATACTTTACATCATATTTAAAAGTTTCTTATCAAAATTAAGAAGAAGAAGAAAAATAACTTTATTCTGGGACTGGCGTCCCCTAAGAATAATTTACATGAAATAAATAAAGGAAGTTCCTTCTATGAAGTTAAAAGTAAAAAAAAAAAGATAGAAATCTTGGCACAATGTATACCAGTAAGGCAGACCAGAAGAAAAAATTACGAGAATATTAAACAAAAATAACAAATGTTAACGTGAGGTCTCTGCTTGGTGGGAAAGGAGGTGATTTATACAGGTGGGATTTAAACGAGGAAAAGGAGGCAGCGTGACGAATAGAAAGGGGAAGGGAGTTCCAGAGTTTAGGGGCTCGGATCAGAAAGGATCTTTCGAAGGTATGGGTTGTATGTTGCGGAAGGATAAGTTCGATTGGAGATGAGCGGGTCTTACGAGTGAGATGTGAGGAGTTGAATTGGAGGGATTGGATTATGTAAGGAGGACGACGAGTGTGGATGGACTGGAAAAGAAAGCAACCTAGGAAATACTGTGCACGGAAGGAGGGGAATAGCCAGGAAAGTTGGGAATACAACCCCGACACCCGGGATCCCCGTGGGGTGCTGTACACAAATCTTACGCAACAATTCATAATACGCTTCAATCGCGCGTTCTCCCCCTGCGAGAGACCACTGTATGCTAAACAGCTATAATCAAAGAAGGGAAGTATAAGGGAAGATACAAGGAGTTTGCGGGTGGAGAAAGGTAAGAGAAGCCGGGACAGACGAAACAGGCTGAGGGAGGCAATGGAATGGCGGGAAATTTGGGAATGTGAGAATGCCAGGAAAGGTTTTGGTCAAAGACTACTAGATTTTTAACCGAAGAGCAGAAGGGGATGGTTATTGGCATGAGAGGTGGGATGCTGGGGAGGGAATGGAGGAGTTGCCTGGACCCGATAATTATGGCGGAGGATTTGGACACATTGAGGACTAGGGAATTTTTATGAGCCCATTCGTTGATTGAGTTTAGGTCTGTTTGGATCTTGAGAATGGCCGAGTGAAGATCGGAATTAATGCCTTAATACGTACGAAATAGCTAACTGCAAATGTTCGGCGCTTAAACTACAAGAATAATTTTACTTAGTGTGTCTATGCTGTGAATTAAAAGTTTTATTGCTTTAAAAAAACTTACTAAAATATGTTGATGTATGTCTTTTCATAGGAGAAAAACGTGTACACGAAATGAACAGCGAGAATATACAGTCCATTTTAAGAAATTTTCAAACCATGGATTGATTCAATATAAAGAGGGTTGACAAAACAACAGTGGCCAAAGAGATTTTATGGATGTGAAACCGATTTGTCTCTTTATTTTGGACTTCGCTCCAATTGAGCAGTGAATATTTATTGAAGACGCGCAGTCAACCTTCGCCTATATAAAAGCGGCCTCGTGTAAGGGAACATGCCCAGAAGGCTTATTGTTATGCACGCTAAGCCAACAATGGAGATGCCGGCGCTTTGTGAACAGAATGATATGACACATATCCCGCTTCTTGACTAAACACAACGGCCTATTTGAATGGGGGGCCCTGGCAAATAGACGCCTAGAAGAAAGAACTTTTTCAATTTGTTTCCTACGGAGTTTTATTAATTCCAGTCCTGGTCTTTTGGCAAGACCTGTTGAAGTTTCCGTCCAGCCGTTTACGTTTCTAACTTTTGTCCTGGGCGGTCCTCCTGGGACAGAGGTGGAATACAAAACTCCTTTATTCTTTGAAACTTTGGACTCAAGGAAATCACATTAACATCCAATATACTGTTCACAGTTTACGCGAGGTTCAGTAACAGTTTTAGTATGAATAAAGTAGTATGAATAAAACCTGCGTTCAATTAAGACTTCAAGGGAAACTATTTTTAACATTAAATGCATGTAATGTGTGGTGTTTAGTGACCGTTAGCCAATGATTATTTGGAGATCATGAGATGCGGTCTGGTGTGACGTAGGTAAAAAAATCAATCCCTTCAAAATCCAACGTATATAAACATAAAACATTAATAACTCACTGGCACTCTCAACACGTCA